ACTGCTCAGCAATTTAACTGAGTGCCCACAACCTTCCTGTGAGCAGGCTGCGGTGGGGAGGGGGGAGTCAAGAACTGAAAAGGGGGAGTCCAGCATGAGATTGGCTTTGGGCCATGGAGGAGATCTAAGCCTGGTGGGGCTTCAGAGGCCTATGATGTTAAGTGTAAACAATGCAACTCTGTGTAAAGACAACGTGTTGTATTCTACACTGAAATTATTCTAACAGGCACTGCTCACCTATAACCATAGGCCATGCTTCACAAGTAATACTGCAATCTCAGCTGCGCCTGTTGAAAGATATCTACACCAACAATGCCAGTATCTTCCTACTGCCACGAAAGACTCTCAGACACTTAACTTAGAATAACTTCAACAGGGTATCATCAACTTTAAGAACCATATTACATTTGGAAAAACACACCAAAGCTTTTCAAATATAATACGGTGGTTAAAAATTGATGATACCCTGTTGAAGTTATTCGAAGTTAAGTGTTTGAGAACATCTCATGGTAGCAGAAAGATACTGACATTATTGATGTAGCTATCTTTAAACAGGCACAGTTGAGCTTGCAATATTACTTGTAAAGCAAGGCATATGGTTATAGGTGAGTGGTGCCTGTTAGAATGATTTCAGTGTAGAATACACCATGCTGTCTTTACGCGGTGTTGCGTTGTTTACTCTAGTGTTACCCTCCGCATTCCTGGTTTGTGTTTCATTACGATGTTAAGTGGCCCCCTGAGAAGAGGCCTGTTATGACAGGACACTGCCACATGTAGATGTCTGAGGTGGGGGATTGGGGGCCGCTTTAACCATTGGCCCAGAAAAACACTCCAGACAGGCAAGTAACATGTGCTTTGGATGTTCCATTTCCACTATGCTCTGGGGGACTATAAAACCTCCTTAAAGATTCTTGTGGTGTGGCAGGAAGCGAGTGCTGCCCCCCCCTCTCTCAGAGCAAAGGCAAATCAAAACAGGAGCCGTCTGAAGGGGCAGGAGAGCTTCCTCGCGTCCATGCGTTAGGCGGAAAAAGTTTTCTCCACCAAAACACCAGCTGGGATTCTAAGTCTGAGTGTTTTCTGAAGTTGTCCTACCTTGCAGGACAACTAGAGCCAGGGCCTTCTCAGTGGCGGCTCCTTACTGGTGGAATGAGCTCCCGGAGGAGATCAGGGCCCTACGGGATCTTATGCCGTTCCGCAGGGCCTGCAAGACGGAGCTCTTCCACCCGGCCTTCAATTAGGGGCCGCCCACATTACCATCAACGACCACTATTAAAATCTGTGGTGGAGGCTGGCTGCAGTGAGATCGAGCCAAATTGCCTAGGAGCCTGTTAACTGCCTGAGCCTGCATGACGTTATGCCATCTTGGTTAATAAATTATCGAGTGCACTTTAATCGGAAATCGTTGATGGTTTAAATGTTTTAACAGTGTTAAATGTTTTGACTGTATATGAACCTTGGCACACCGTGCCAGGCAATATGAGCCGCCCTGACCCCGCTTGCGGGGAGGGCGGGTTATAAAGGCAACAAATAAATAAATAAATAAATTCTCATAAGCCAGGAGTGCCCGTTCTCTCAGAGAGACATACGGAGCAGAACTGCAGAGCACGACTATTGCCGCAAACTCTGGCTGCAGAGGAACCTGCAGTTGGATTCCCCTCGTCCTGGCCTCTTACAGTATTTTTTTTTTTTTAATTAAATAATTTTATTTATTGTTTTCACAAAACGTCCTCCTTTGCATTTACAAAACATTTTCCCGTTATTTAAATCTTATTCAGAATTACATATATATTCATTCTTTTATACTTTTGAGTCTCAATTTCCCCATATTTCATACATCCATTTATATAATCTTTCCCTTGCATACTAATAGTTAGCTTATCCATTTCCGCCACTTCCATCAGCTTAAATATCACTTCCTCTCTTGTTGGGAAACTCTCTTTCTTCCAATGTTTGGCCAGTACTACTCTAGCCGTGGTCACTATATATGTTAATAAGTATTTATCACTTTGCTTATACTCGGTATCATGTTTAATAGGGCTATCTCCGGGGTTAGAACCACTTTTAACTTCATAATGTCTGTGATAAGTTTTTGTATCATTTTCCAATACTTTTCTACTCTCTCACATCGCCACCACATACAGTATTTTTTTTTAATGGATGACTTATGGCTGGCCTATTTCACAGTCAGCTCTGACTTGCAACAGACTGTTAGTCCAAGTCCGTGCACTCTGCGGCTCAACTTTTGATATACAGCAGGAAGTGATATTACATGCGCCAAACAGATACACAGTTGACGTTGTTGTTTTAAAGCAGAGAAAGAACCTACCATTTTTCATCACCACATTGGACCAGACGTTGGCATTCAAGGCCTGGACGATTCGCTTCACGCCAGTGGATTCTGGAAAGTCGTCTAAAGACAAGGGAGGCAATGAACTCTCTTTGGAGACACACAAACGCCAAAGTCCAGAAGGATGACCACCCCAGGAGCTCCCACCACATCTGAATTTAGCCATAGAATCATAGAATGTTAGAGTTGGAAGGGACCTTGCAGGTCATCTAGTCCAACCCCCTGCACTCTGCAGGAGCAGAGCCGAAAAATAGCCCTACGACAAACCCGAAAGTTCAGCCTCCGCTTGGAAACGTCCAGCGAAGGAGCATCCACCACCTCCCGAGGCAGTCTGTTCCACTGCTCAACCACTCTTACAGTTAGGAAGTCTCTCCTAATATTTAGCCAGTATCGACACCTTTGTAATCTCCACCCATTGGATCTAGTCTTGCCCTCCAGAGCAAGAGAGGATAGATCTGCTCCATCTTCTACATGACAGCCCTTCAAATACTTGAAGACTGCAATCATGTCCCCTCTAAACCTCCTTGCGGTCAACCAAAGTCCCTCCCATCTCCTTAAATCCAGTTATTCCATATTCAACGCACATAGAACCTTCTGGGAATATGAGCTTTACGGGGGGAGGGGGGATCTTTTTGAATTGTGGGAAACGTTGCCTGCAGATTGGCCGGTCCACACTACTAATGGAAGTTTCTCAGATCCACACAAAACTGCTTTGCGAGGGCAGGCATTTCTGCACTTAGAGCACACGGAACCAGGACTTTTTCTCCAGCACATATGGCTCTCTGTACTTCGAGACCTGAGTGCCGCATGACAGTAGCAGAGCGGCTTACAAACGCCTTTCCCCTTCCCCTCCCCACAACAGACACCCTGTGAGGTGGGTGGGGCTGAGAGAGCTCTGACAGAAACGGCTCTTTTTTTCAAGACCAGCTCTTATAGAGCTATGGCTTGCCCAAGGTCACCCAGCTGGCTGCACGCGGAGGAGTGGGGAATCAAACCCGGTTCTCCCAGATTAGAGTCCGCGCACTTAACCACTACACCAAACTGGGTCTCAAAAGGCCCGAGGAGAATGTTAAATATTCCCACTGTGCCTGTCTGCCCTTCTAAATTGTAGCCCTTACGGCGAGACGCTGTTTTGAAAATCATACCTAAAAGAAAGAAGGGGAGACTATTATTCTCCAAGGTTTTCTGTTTAAAAATCTCTCCTGCATTGCTCATCTTGGACCTCGGGAACAGACGGGATGCCGAGCAGAAGAGGCGGAGGGCCCTTGGACCCAGGCAGAGCTGCCTCCTCGCAGTGGGTGGCGGCCGCCGTAGACGAGCTTTCAAAAAGCCAGCGGCAGGGAAGGGTTTACAAAGCTGAAACTGCCTTCGGCCTGTCGATCACCCGGGACACACAAAACCCAGTGACCATTATTAATTATTATTATTTATGAAATTTATAGACCGCCCTTCCCCAAAGGGCGCCGGGCAACAAGTTAAAATACACAAAAATAACTTGGTTACAAATTACTGACTACAATTTACTGTAAAACCCAACATTAATCGATGGCTTAAAATGCAGTTTGCTTCCTACCCCGGGGCAGATCAGGGACCGGGCATGGCGTAGGCCACAGTGATAACCCCAATGCAGGCCGTTGCTGTCCTACAAGGAAAGGCTGAGGGCCCTGGGAATGTTTAGTTTGGAGAAGAGGAGACTGAGGAGGGACAGGATCAATGTTCCCTCTAAGCTGTGGAGTCTCGTGAGCAAAAAGTCTACTTTGTGAGCTATTGGCATTGAAGTTGTGAGCCAGTGATTTGGCTGTTGCATAAATTAGCTTGCTCTGGAGCCATCCTTCCTGAGCTGAGACAAAACTGTGTGAGCCGGAGGCTAAAAAACTGTGAGCTAGCTCACACTAACTCAGCTTAGAGGGAACACTGGACAGGATTGCTCTCTTTAAATGTTTGAAAGGCTGTCGTTTGGAGGAGGGCAAGGAGCTGTTCCAGTTGGCGGAGGAGGAGAGGACCCGAAGCAACGGGTTTAAACGACATGCAGAAAGGTATCGGCTGGATATTAGGGGAAACGATTTCACAGTCAGAGTGGTTCAAAGGTGGAATCAGCTGCCGAGGGAGGTGGTGAGCTCCCCTTCACTGACAGCTTTCAAGAAGAGGCTGGGCGAATATCTGTCAGGGATGCTTTAGGCTGGTCCTGCATTGGGCGGGGGGTTGGACTAGAGGGTCTGAATAGCCCGTTCCAACTCTAGGGTTCTATGATTCAACTGTAGGCCTGGAAGAACCTCTCTGATTTACACGCCCTGCGGAACTGAGCTAGGCCCCGCAAAGCACGGATGTCGCTGGGTAGAGAGTTCCACCAGGCTGGAGCCGGGGCAGAGAAAGCCCTGGCTCTAGTCAAGGACGACCAGGCCTCTCTCGGGCCAGGGACCACTAGCAGGTTTCGATCTTCCGAGCGTAAGGCTCTTCAGGGGAGATACCGGGGGAGGCGGTCCTGCCAGAACGCTGGTCCCAGACCACTAAGGGCCTTAAAGGTCATCACTGGGACCTTGAAGAGGATCTGTTATTCAATCTGGAGCCAGTGCAGCTGGCGAAGCACAGGTTGGATGTGTGCTCTTATAGGCGTACCAGTAAGTACCCACACCGCTGCATTCTGGAGGGCCTTCTGCAGCTCTGCCTCGAAACAAACTGCAGGAGAGGCGACACAGCCAGGGGGCTGGGAACAGTCCCGCTGGCTCAGTTCTCCTGTTTGCTAACTGAGGAGTCACCTTGAGGAACCCCTTATCCAACTCTGAAACACTCTTTTTTAAAAGAAGTAAAGCTGTAGAAAGAGATTACGTAAGGGCATCTGAAAGCAACGGCAAGCAACACAGAGCCCTGTGGCAATGGCACACTCTTCACGGCAGGGCCACACCTCCCATCCAATGCTCCCTCTAAGCCGCGGAGTCTTGTGAGCCAAAAAATCTACTTTGTGAGCTGCTGGCATTAAAGTTGCGAGCGAGCCATTTGGCTCCTGCATGAATTAGTCTGCTCTGGAGCCCTCCTTCCTGAGCTGAGACAAAAATCTGTGAGCCGGAGGCTAAAAGACTGTGAGCTGGCTCACACCAACCCAGCTTAGGGGGAACACTGGCTGCACTGCTCCCTCTAAGCCGTGAAGTCTTGTGAACCAAAATTCTACTTTCTGAGCGACTGCGGGGGGGGGGGGAGCTGGAGAAGAGGTGGGAGACAGAGTGAGGCAGATTTGCTTTGCTTAGAGAAGAAGCTGAGTCGTAGGAGAACTTGCATATCCCCACGCGGAAGCCCAAGGGGACGGCCTCGGGTGAGCCACCCCTGCTGGCTGAGGCCTTCTGGGAAGAGGCCGCGACCTACCGTCCTCGTCCGGCACCTCCTCCGGGTTGAGCTCCACCAACTCGAAGCTGTGCTTGATGCACCACTCTTGCGCCTTCTGCCGGCTGACCCCTAGGTCAAGAAGAGAGAGAGTCTGGGTTCCTAGAAGGGCCTTCCTCTTGCATCTGCCGGTCAGAACTACGAGGCAGGGGGGTTCGGCCAACTGGACACAGACTGGCAGACAGCTCTCGCTTTGCTGATTTAAGGGGCAACGTTATATCACGTGCAGGCTGCTGGCTCAGCATAAGCCTGCTCTGTGTCCCTCTGCCGGGAAAGCAGTGACTCTCAGATTCAGTATTGTCTACTCAGACTGGCAGCAGCTCTCCAGGGTCTCAGGTGGAGGTCTTTTGCCTCACCTACATACTGGCGATTGAACCTGGGACCTCCTGCATGCCAAGCAGATGCTCTACCACTGAGCCATGCCCCCCATACTTGAACACATGAAGCTGCCTTCTACTGAATCAGACCCTTGGTCCATCAGGGTCTGTATTGTCTACTCAGACTGGCAGCAGCTCTCCATGGTCTCATGTGGAGCTTTCCCATCACCTACTGCCTGGTCCCTTTAACTGGAGATGCCAGGGATTGAACCTCGGACCTTCCGCATGCCAAGCAGAGGCTCTGCCACTGAGCCACAGCCCCTCTCGACAGCTCTTCAGGGTCTTAGGCAGAGGTCTTACCCATCACCTCCTGCCTGGTCCTTTTGAACTGGAGATGCCGGGGATTGAACCGAACCTGGGCCCTTCTGCATGCCAAGCAGAGGCTCCACCACTGAGCCACGGGCCCTCTTTACAGCTTTCCAGGGTCTTAGGCAGAGGCCTTCCACATCACCTCCTGCCTGGTCCTTTTTAACTGGAGATGTTGGGGATTGAACCTGGGACCTTCTGCATGCAAAACAGGTGTTTCACCACTGAGCCAGAGCCCCTCCCACCCTAACTCCTTGGACTCTTGCCTTCCTAAGGGCCACAAGCTGTTATTAAAAACGGAAGGGAGAATCACTGGCTGTTGAATCGCAGCAGGCTCTTGCCTGGCTCCCTTTCGGGACCTGTTTCCTACGCAGGATCTGAAATGATGGCACAAAATTCCATGCCACTGATTCCCACCAGCCTGCATAAACACATGAACTCACGCTGCACATCTTGGCAGTCTGTGACCGCTCCACATGCCCAAATGACTGGAAGCAGACAGCTCAGGAGCTACGCAAGATCCATGTGCTTCCACACCATATAATCGCAGAAGTTATTTGACGTGAAGACCGGGGGGGGGGGTATGTCGATAAAATCTGCCTTGGTAAGCAACATCCTCCCCTGCCACGTCCCACGATTTTTTAAAGTGACATTAACTGTTAGTAGCACACGGGCTCAGGTTTCCTCCAGGTGCCCTTTCCAGGTGGGACAAGCTGCCGGCCCCCCCCCCCCGGACAACACCGGGGCCGCATCCCCTTACCGGTGTCAGAAACTCTGTCGCAGACCAAGATCATCACTTCCGGCAGCCACTCTTCCACGAGGGGGAGCCACGAAGAGACACCATCCAGTCCCGATACCTGCGGAAAGACAAGGGGGCTTTCTGGCTTCTGGTGTCTATCCCCCCCCCCCAAAGTACTGCACATATGCTAATGAGTTATGCTAATGAGTTCCCCTAGCTCTTTTTCTACGAAACGACCCCTGAAGATTAAACATCATGGAGTGATTATTCTGTAGTGTTCATACAATTAACTGGCACACGAATAGCGACAAGAGACGTGCCGTTTACTTCTGCTTTTTGACAGGGGACAAATGCCTGGAACTTACTTCAGCCCCTGCGTCAGATGAGATCCTGAACTCACATCCGAGCCTCTCTAGCAGAGTCTGCCTTTCTAAGGGGGAGGAGAATATTTGGATTCAAAAACCGCCTCCGCTCCTTTCCAGACCGTTGCCCAATTATTCTGCACTTGGTTTCCTTCCGTTCTGTAATTGCTACCCACTTAGTGACAATCAAGCCGCTCCAATAAGGCCAGAAACTCCTGCCTTATTGGTGGAAGAAGGAAAAACAGGGAAGAAAGTGCAGATCTAGATGGAGGCTCAGCCGCTTCCGGTCCTTGGGACAAAAATAGTACAAAACCATGATACATTACTAGGACGAAAAATACTATCAAAACAACTTCATTAATTCATTCCAGTGCTGTAAGTTGCCTAATTTGTATATTGTTTAAACTTAAATTTTAAGTTGTAACGGCCAATAGCTACACAATACATTTTACTACTACTACTACTACTACTACTACATTAATTCATAATACTAATTCATGAAGAATGAAAAGAGACTGGATTAATACCCCGGTTTACACTTACTCGAAGGAGTCTCAGAGCAGTTTACAATCTCCTTTCCCTCCCCCTCCCCACAACAGGCACCCTGTGAGGTAGGTGGGGCTGAGAGAGCTCTTTCGAGGACTGCTCTTGAGAGAATTGCTCTGAAAGAACTTGTGACCGACCCAAGGTCACACCAGCAGCTGCAAGTGGAGAAGTAGGAAATCAACCCAGTTCTCCCAGATTAGAGTCCGCGCACTTAACCACTACACCAAACTGGCTCTCCAGTTTGAAACAATTCACATATATTCCACGTGTCTGCATATCAATGGAATGACGAGAGACTTTTCCCTTTTTTGCCACAAGGTTCATTGAGAGACTTTTGTTGTATATACAAACAATTAAGGTGTTTTACACTTTCTACTTTGATGAACATCAGGGTTTGTATGGTATACATGTGAATTGTTTCATGAGTTAGTATTATGAATTAATGAAGTAAATTTTGATAGGAGTTTTGGCCCTAGTAATTTATCACAGTTTTGTACTATTTTTGTCTCTATTTTCCGTGGGTTCTCTCTTTCTGTACTTCCTGTCTTTGGCCAACAACTTTGGCCCAGGAAGAAAGAGCATGGCTGTGATATCTCCAGCCAGGAAACAGGCACCTTTGCCCCCAAGATCTTGGGCAGCTGAGAGAGGCCGGCATGCATAACTCCTGTCTCTGCTGAGAACACGATTCAATTCTGCCTTGAGAAGAGAAGAAGAAGAGAAGAGATTGGATTTATACCCCGCCCTTCACTACCCGAAGAAGTCTCAGAGCGGCTTACAAACTCCTTTCCCTTCCCCTCCCCACGACAGACACCCTGTGAGGTGGGTGGGGCTGAGAGAACTCTGACACAAACTGCTCTTTTTCAAGGGCAGCTGTGCCAGAGCCTGTGACTGACCCAAGGTCACATCAGCAGATGCAGGTGGAGGAGTGGGGACTCAAACCCGGTTCTCCCAGATTAGAGTCCGCACACTTAACCACTATGCCAAACTGGCTCTCAGAACATGGAATCGTGTTCCATCTCCCTTAAAGCGCAACTGCTGTAAAGTGCAGCTGCGGAATTAGTAGATACCCAATTTAACCAGCATGGTGCAATCTGAGAAAGGAACAAACATTTTTCTTCTCCGCAACACAGTTAATCTTGGAAACTCTCTGCCACCAATGAGCACTTGTCAAGTGAGAAACGGACCATTTTAAAAAACTGAATCCGACGGCATATTTCATGGTTTTCAACTAATCTGGTTAATATAAAAAATTGAAATAAAATGCAATGTTTTTTTTTAATTTTTTATTGATAACAGTAACTAGTACATAACAATTATAACTGGATATACAAGTTGAATTTTTCAAAAATACATAGATGATAACCAAATTGACATAGTTAGTAGCTCTGAAGCACAATAATGACTGAGCTACTAACTATGTCAATTGATTATGCTAGTTTTATAAACAATACTTTCTGAAACTAGCGTAATCAATTGACATAGTTAGTAGCTCAGTCATTATTGTGCTTCAGAGTTTATTGTTTGTTGTAGCGTGGTAAACCGTTTTTGTGTATAGGTATCCATGTAGGTTGAAAAGTGAGGGAGAGTTTAGATATGATATGAAAGAAGAGAGGAAGAGGACTGAGTATCTGACAAATAGGGAGAGAGCAGACCAAAATGGGACATAGAGAGGAAATAGTAATCCAAACGTTAGATCCACTTGTGATACTGGGACCACTCGGGGGGGATAATGCTGATGAGACAGGTAATCCATTACAGGGAACCATTTTTCGGTGAAATTATCCTTCCTTTCAACTTGAGAAAGGGCATTCAGTTAAATGCAATGTTGATACAACCTTCTGACGCGTTGTAGACAGCAGAAATGAACTCTTAATATCTAAAGTGAGACACACTGTGGTGTAGCAGTTAGTGTCAGACGAGGATCCCGGAGACCCGGGTTCGAATCCCTGCTCTGCCATGGACGCTTGCTGAGGGACTGTGGGCCAGTGCTTGTCTCTAAGCTGCGGAGTCTGCGAGCAAAAAAGGCTAAAAGACTTGTGCACTAGCTCACACTAACTCAGCTTAGAGGGAACGCTGCCGTGGGCCTGCCACAGACACTCACCCTAACCTACCTCACAGGGTTGTCGTGAGGGTAAAGTGGAGAGGAAAGCAACACTTTAGTTTATCATTAAGGAGAAAGAAATGAAGTCAAGAAATAAGCAAGCAAACTTTCACCAGGGTTTCTGGACATCTCCTGCCTGGTCCTTTTTAAATGGAGATGCTGGGGGTTGAACCTGGGACCTTCTGCATGCCAAGCAGGGGCTCTGCCACTGAGCCATGAAACCTCCCTAAACGAAACTGCCTTAGACGGAATCAGACCCTCGGCCCATCAGAGTCAGTATCACCTTCCCAGCCTGGCAGCAGCTCTCTCTCCAGGGTCTCAGGCAAAGAGGTCTTTCACATCAACTACTACTCTTTATCTGGGGGTGCTCCAAGAATTGGGACATGCAGCCTTAGGAGTGTCACCTTGACACGAGCCTAGCTCTTTCTCGGAGCCAGTGGCAGAGAGTTCCGCAGTTCACGATTTAATCAGAACAGACAATTGTGGAGCCCCCCCCCCTGTGAGTACTCACGGTTGTGCTGTCAAAATAAACCAAGAAGGCTTGCACGGACTCTGCAATCGCACCTGTCACAAGAAACCGATTGGGCACGACGCACAGATGGACGGAAGCCGAGTAGTATTTATTGTCTATCGTCCAGGGGTAAAACTGGGCTCCCCCACCTGGAGAAACATCCGCAGGAAGCACTTCTGCACCGATGATACCTGCAAGAAGAACGCACGGTGAGGGACCTGAAGAGATGCGACTCGGAATCTGGGCCCTGGCTCGGGGAGGGGTTGAGAAAAGAGATGCTCCCCCCCAAAAAAAACCCTCACACCACACTTGGGCTGACTTCCTTACACGAAGCTGGCTTATACTGAATCAAGACCACGAGTCCATCAAGGTCAGTATTTTCACACTTGACAGCGGCTCTCTAGTGTTTCAGGCCGAGGTCTTTCACATCACCTACTGCCTGGTCCTTTTAACTGGAGGTGCCGGGGATTGAACCTGGGACCTTCTGCATGCAAAGCAGAGGCTCTTCCACTGAGCCACGGCCCCTCTTCACAGCTCTCTGGGATCTCAGGCTGAAGTCTTTCCCATCACCTCCTGCCTGGTCCTTTTAACTGGAGATGGCGGGGATTGAACCTGGGACTTCCTGCATGCCAAGCAGATGCTCTTCCACTGAGCCAGAGCCCCTCTTTGCAGCTCTCCAGGGTCTCAGGCTGAGGTCTTTCACATCACCTACCGCCTGGTCCTTTTAACTGGACATGCCGGGGATTGAACCTGGGACCTTTTGCATGCCAAGGACATGCTCTGCCACTGAGCCACAGCCCCTCCCTTATACTGAATCAGACCACTGGTCCATCAAGGTCAGCATCGTCTACTCAGACTGACAGCTGCCCTCCAGGATCTCAGGCGGAGGTCTTTCGTATCACCTCCTAAAGCCTTTTAAACTGGAAAGGTCAGGAAATAAACCAGGGACCTTCTACATGCCAAGCAGATGCTCCACCACTAAGCCACGGCCCCGGCTCAAACAGGAGTCAGTGCGCATGTCATAGAATCATAGTGATGTAAGAGACCTCCAGGGTCATCTAGTCCAACCCCCTGCACAAGGCAGGAAATCCACAACTACCTCCTCCCCACACCCCCAGTGACCCCTGTTCCAATGACCGGAAGATGGCAAAAAACCTCCAGAAACTCCAGCCAAACTGGCCTGAAGAAAAACTGCTTCCTGACCCCAACACGGCGATCATGCTTGTACTGCCTTCTACTGCCCTCCTAGTTTTCTACAGGTAGTTGGTCAGAATGTCCCCTCGGTTCTCATAGCATCATAGAGTTGGAAGGGACCTCCAGGGTCATCTAGTCCAACCCCCTGCACAAGGCAGGAAATTCACAAATACCTCCACCTCCAAACCCACAGTGACCCCTGGTCCACACCCAGAAGATGGCGAAAAACCTCCAGGATCTCAAGCCACATTGGTCTGGAGGAAAGTGGCTTCCTGACCCCAAAGTGGCGATCGGCATTTCCCTGGGCGTGTCAGAAAGGGCCATGAGAACTAAGCCCCGAGGCAACCCTTCCTGCCCTCCCTCTCATGAGCTGCCTAAACTCACAGGATCAACATTGCTGTCCGATGGCCATCTAGCCTCTGTCTGAAAACCTCCAGGGAAGGAGAGCCCACCACCTCCTGAGGAAGCCTGTCCCACTGAGCAACCGCTCTGACTGTCAGGACGTTCTTCCTAATGCTTAGCTGAAAATTCTTCTGATTTAATTTCAACCCCTTGGTTGAAAAACCTTCCCTTCTGTGGTGTTTTACCATTGCTTCGGTCAGGTCTGTCTGCTTTGCTTTCAAGCTGAGAAGATCTCACTGCCATCCGGCATTCTCTCTGAAGATGCTTCCTCTCCCAAGGGAACTTTGCCAAACTAGGAAAGGGACCAAATTCCCTGCCGGTCTGAAAAGTCAGTAACTGCAAGCCACAGGGCCAAACCGAGCCCTCCAAGGAGTGCCAGCTATGTCCCCAAACTGCTTACAGAGGCACTAAAAAGGAGTATTAATAGGTAGTGGCTATGGCCACAGAGCTGGTCTACCTTAGGAGGCTGGATGGAGGTTTCCCTCACTACCCTGAGTACAGCCATCCCTTCCGCAAACTGGCCCTGCCAGAAAAACAGCTACTGACCAACACAACCCTCCATCCAAAAAGAAGCCCTATCCGTTGACCGATCTGTTTGCGCCGACTTCAGTTTACATCCCACAAGCTGATAATTCATCGGCCTGACGGACGAGCCAGCATGGTGTCATGGAGTGGTTAAGAGTGCCGGACTAGTGTCTGCAAGACCTGGGTTCGAATCCCCACACATGCCATGGAAGCTCATTGGGGGACCTTGGGCCAGGCACGCTCTCTCAGCCTAGCCGACCTCACAGGGTGGTCGTGGGCATAAAACAGAACAGAGAACGATGAAAGCTGCTTTGGGCTCCCGCTCGGAAGAAAGGTGAGGCATAGATGACAAAAATAATAAATAAATGTACACTCCATGCATCTGACGAAGCGAGTGCTAACAAAATTCATCCCAGCATAACCGTTTCGGTGAGTCTCACCACGGAACTCCTTTTTAAAATCCTTCCACACGCTGATGCTTAGAAACACCCACAGGTCTCCCAGAACACTGGAATAGATGTGCTCAGATCGCTGGGGTTTCGGAAATTTCCCTTTCAAGCCGGGTTATGTCTTAAATTCAAATATCACATCGCCCGGTTCCGTAGAGCAAAGTGGCCGTGTAATGACACCTTTCTATATCTGGCCGTGGAGAGCGCACCCATTTTTGGAGAAGCTTTAAAGCCCACGCCTGCTTTGTCTCCCCAAAATGTCCTTCCAGAAAACGGCTACCGTGGCCAAAACGCGTGGGCTTGGAGACGGCTGTGTCTCAAGAGAGGCGTGCGCTCCTCGCTTGTGATCTTCCTAACCACGGGGAGGGCCCGTGGTTGAACATCCAAGGACTCAGAAAAATCAACTGACGCACTTGGCAACCACAACGCTTCGGCGCGTCTCCAGGGCCGAACTCCTGCGGCTTGTGTTTTCACAGAACACCACAGCTGGTCTGCTGGGTTGCTCCAAACAACATCTGCAAGTCCCCTCATCTCCCCAACTGGGAGCCTGAGAACCAGGGCTATTTTGGGGCATGAACACACAGGAACGGAGTTCCGGCTGCCTTCAGAGTTGGCCACGCCCACGACAGCCAAAACCTCTGCATGCATGGCTACAGAGGGAAGGCCTGGAGAGCGACCCCCCCCAGCGACTACAAGGCGGGCGGGCCAGGGGCCCCCCCGGAAGGATCGGGGAAGCATTTAAATGTCTCCCCGTGCCTGCCCCGGCCTGTTCAATGGCTGGCTTGCCTGGGCTCCCTACAGCCGCGGGGCGCCCGCGGGAAGGCACGGGGTGTGGCCTAATATGCTAATGAGCTGCACTGCCAGGGGTGTGGCCTAATATGCTAACGAGCTGCCCAGTCAGGGGTGGGGCCTAATATGCTATTGTGTTTCTGCTGTTGGGTGTGGCCTATTATGCTAATGAGTCCCTGCTGGGCTTTTTCTACAAAAAAAAGCCCTGCTGAGAACCAGTGCTCCTAAGCTATGGAGTCTTGAGTGCAAAAATTCTACTTTGTGAGCTACTGGCATTAAAATTGTGAGCAAGCGATTTGGCCACTGCACGAATTACTTTGCTCTGGAGCCCTCCTTCCTGAGCTAAGACAAAAATGTGTGAGCCGGAGGCTAAAAAACTGTGAGCTAGTTCAGCAGTTCGAGACCCGAGTGTGCCGCATGACGGAGTGAGCTCCCGTCTCTAGTTCCAGCTCCTGCCAACCTAGCAGTTCGAAAGCAAGAAATTGCAAGTACCACTTTGGTGGGAAGGTAACAGCGTTCCGTGCGCCTTGGTGTTTAGTCATGCCGGCCACATGACCACGGAAACGTCTTCGGACAGCGCTGGCTCTTCGGCTTGGAAACGGAGATGAGCACCGCAACCCTAGAGTCGGATTCGACTGGCTTTCGAGCAAGGGAAACCTTTACCAACTGTCTTCAGCAGCCATCAAGCTACCTGTTGGACCTGGGTGTGAAATGATTATACGACTGCCCTGCTCCTCTCCTACAGCAGCCAGTAACCCACAGATTATGCCTTTCTCCCTTGGCCTTACAAAGGAAAGTGTCCCTGGTAGGGGCAACTTCTTGAGTCAGGGAAGGGAGACAGTACACAACACGCAGCCAGATCCGTTGCAGCTTCTACGTTCCATTCCTCACAACTCAAAAAGGAGAGCTCGGCCGTTTCAGTCAGTTCAAGATGCATTTTCAACTTCTTTGTGTTCCTAGCATCATGCTAAAGCACTAATCCAGGAGCACAAGAAGAAGCAAAATTAAACATTTGGGGGGGGGGGGGGTGCGCTTCTAAATTTACATATCAGAGATTGCCAAAACAATATAGTAAACAATTATAAAGTTGGTAGTGTCACAACAACAACATTAATGCACACTGTAACTATAATAAGGCATAAAATAGTATATTTCCTCCTTAGAAGATAAGACATAAAGTCC